CTATCTGGATCCTGACCCTGGTGGCTGTAATCCTAGCTACTCAGAAGGCTGAGATCTGAGAATTGTGACTCAAAGCCAGCTCAGGCACACAAACCTGAGAGACTCATCTCCAATGAACTACCAAAAAGCCAGAAGTGGAGTTGTGGCTCAAGTGGTAGAGCACTAGCCTTGAGCACAGTAGCTCAAGGACAGTGCCCAGACCCTGAATTCAAGCTTCAGGACTGGCATAACACAAAATTAATATTTTTTAAAATGTCATTCTTTCTTTCTTTTTCTTCTTCTTCTTCTTCTTCTTCTTCTTCTTCTTCTTCTTCTTCTTCTTCTTCTTCTTCTTCTTCTTCTTCTTCTTCTTCTTCTTCTTCGTCTTCTTCTTCTTCTTCTTCTTCTTCGTCTTCTTCTTCGTCTTCTTCTTCTTCTTCTTCTTCTTCGTCTTCTTCTTCGTCTTCTTCTTCTTCGTCTTCTTCTTCGTCTTCTTCTTCTTCGTCTTCTTCTTCTTCGTCTTCTTCTTCGTCTTCTTCTTCGTCTTCTTCTTCTTCTTCTTCTTCTTCTTCTTCTTCTTCTTCTTCTTCTTCTTCTTCTTCTTCTTCTTCTTCTTCTTCTTCTTCTTCTTCTTCTTCTTCTTCTTTTTTTGTTAGTCGTGGGGCTTGAATTCTGGGTGTGGGTACTGTCCCTCAGTTCTTCAGTTCAAGGCTAGCACTCTACCACTTTGAGCTACAGCACCACTTCCAGTTTTCTGGTGGTTCATTGGAGATAAGAGTCTCATGGACTTTCCTGCCCAGGCTGGCTTTGAACCACGATTCTCAGATCTCAGCCTCCTGAGTAGTAGGATTACAGGTGTGAGCCACTGGCACCCGGCAAAATGTCATTCTAACACACCAGAGAGAATTCCAGGAAAACCTTCTTGAGGAACACAGGCTTTGGAAGTTGGTGGGTGAGGAGGGCAGGTGTGTGTTTAGAGATAGAGCCGGGACCTTGGCAGGAAGGGTGAAGAAACGAAGATGATTTAGGGCTTAATACCAAGGCCACCAATAGAATGGGTAAGAAGAATATAGGCCGGACTGGCCGAGGAGTGGAGCTAGACTCTTTTCTGCCATGGTGTTTGAACATCTCACCAACTGCCCAGGAGGCGGCCTCATGTAGCTTTGTCTTAGGAAAGATACCATGGCTTGAGAAACAGACGGAGGAAATATCAAGGTGTGAGGGAAGGGTCATGTCTTACTCACCCTGGATCTTGTGTTTCACTGAATGCCAGGTGCATGGCCCAAACTCTTTAACAGTGCTTGTCAAACCGATGCCTAAATGGGCCAATAGCCTGCAAGCTTCACCATCGAGAGGAGATTCCCAAATCATGCACTCCATGCAGGGCATTCTGTGACTGAGTGGATGAGATGGGAGTGGAAGCCACAGATCTGGGCAAAGAAGTGAAAATGCAGAAAGGAAATGAAGAGATCGAGGACAGGAACCACTCGACCCACTTGGCAGCTGTCAGAATGAGTAAGACTTCACTGTTCCTGGCTCCTTCTTACTAGAAACCAGTGAGATAGAGGATCAGAGAGACTGGAGACGTGAGTGCTTTGCAGTGGCGGGGGGGAGGGGGAGAAGAGGCCTATGGAGTCTGAGACGGCTAGAGTGAGATTTGTCTTCCATTAATGTTACTTCTTTCATGGGGAAAAGGACAGAGTGACAACACACACAACGCACACACAACATGAAGCCCGAGTGTGAGTGTGGATGAGCCTGGGGAGAGCAAACGCCATCTTGACACAGATTTCTAAAATGTGATCATAAAATAACCTCAGGAATAGGAGGAAAACAGACGGCCTGACTTCATTCTTTTGTTTTCACATAAGCTAGATGGTTGTCGTTGTTGTTTTTAAATTTTGAGCATGATTGGGGCTGGGGAGGTGGCTCAGTGGTAGAGTGCTTGCCTTGCATGCCTGAGGCCCTGGGTTTGATTTCTCAGCACCACATAAGCAAAAAAGAAAAAAAGCCAGAAGTGGCGCTGTGGCTCAAGTGGTAGAGTGCTAGCCTTGAGCTGAAGAGCTGAGGGACAGCGCCCAGGCCCAGAGTTCAGGCCCCACGACTGGACCCCCCCCCAAAAAAAAAATTTGAGCATGAAAAATGCTAAACACAGGCAAAGATTAAAAAAAAAAAGAAGTATAACCCAGTGCCAGTAGCTCATGCCTACAATCCTAGTTACTCAGAAGGCTGAGATCTGAGGATCATAGTTTGAAGACAGTCTGGGCAGGAAAGTCTGTGCGCTTCTTATCTCCAATTAACCACCAAAAAATTCTAGAAATGGAGTTGTGGCTCTAATGATTTTAGAGTGCTGGGTTTGAGCAAACAAAAACCCTCAAGAACAGCACAGAATGGTGTGCGCACACACGTACACATGCACACTCACACATACACCTCGCTGTGCTAATCCCTCGTGGATTTGACTTTTCTTTATAAACATTTCTGTGCATAAAAGTCACACCGATACACAATTTGTTGACACTTTAATGGTTTTGATAGTTAAATAGCCTAACGATAATGCTAATAAAAAAATGTATGATTGGGGCTGGGAAGGTGGCTCAGGGGTAGAGGGCTTGCCTTGCATGCCTGAGGCCCTGGGTTCGATTCCTCAGCACCACATAAGCAAAAAGATAAAAGCCGGAAGTGGCACTGTGGCTCAAGTGGTAGAGTGCTAGCCTTGAGCTAAAGAGCTGAGGGACAGTGCCCAGGCCCAGAGTTCAGGCCCCACGACTGGACCCCCCCAAAAAAAATGTATGATTAAGAAGGCAAGCATTATAAATGGGAGGAAAAGCGTGTGGGTATGCAGCTAGCTGGCACGATCTAGAGGCTGGTCAAAAGAAGAAGATAGAGAAGAGAGAAGAAAAGGGTCAAAGGTCAATGTAGTTGTTTTCGTAAGTTAGATACAGACGCATACAGAGATTAAGAACCCCCATCTAAAGCAAGGCACACTGCGTGTCTAGCAGAGAGTGGATGGACTTTTCCTATGAAGGGAAAAGGCCCCTGACCATCACTGTCCTCAGGTGAGCTCTGTCGAGTCTCATAATACAGGTGGAATATTCCAGTGTATTGCTCCAATTTGGTATCCTTGGTGCTTTTCCAAGCAGACATTAAGTTGGCTTTTGACTTCTTCATACTCATGTGTCAGCTACATGATCGTAATTCAGTCTTTCTTCTAACATTGTTGGTTCAGATTTGCTTTTTATCACTCATCATCGGGGGTGTAATACCTGCCACTTCATCAGATGATGTACTCACAAGAATTCTGCTCATGTTGATCTCGTACGAATTCCATCAAAAGAAAAAGAACTTATGGTTTATACTACCTAACTTCATGATTTAATATAAAAATAGAATATCAAGACGGGAAGACATGGATGTAAAAGTAACTATTTAGCTGGGCACCAGTGACTCATGGCTGCCTCCTAACTAGTCAGGAAGCTGAGGTCTGAGGATGTGGTTTGAAGCCAGCCCAAGGAAGGAAAGTCCATGAGACTCTTCTCTCCAGTTAACTCCCAAAAAGGCTGGAAGTGGAGCTGTGGCTCAAGTGGTAGAATGTTAGCCTTGAACCAGAGAGCTCTGGGAGAACACCTAGACCCTGCGTTCAAGCCTCAGGACCCGCATAAAAATAAATAAATAAATAGGGCTAGGAATGTGGCTTAGTGATATAGTGCTTGCCTAGCATGCATGAGAATCTGAGTTCGATTCCTCAGTATCACATAAACTCCAAAATAAGTAATAAATAGATAACAATTTATGGCCAGGCTATAGCTTCATGGTAGGGCACTGGCCTAAAATCCACAAAACCCTTGGTTTGAATCCTAGCATTAAAACAATTAATTAATTAATTATAATTTTAGATGAGTATAATAGACTACTCAGTATAGAATATATAAAATAGAATACAAATACAATAGAACACAAATAAATAGAACACTCACTACTGAATTCACATATATTCTGATCAAATTATTTACAATGCTTATCACATATATATTCAATTAACTTGTACCATAGATTCCAAGAGAATTAAATGAAGAATCATTTAGACAGATGCTGTTAGAAACGTTAGGTGTTCATTTTTTTTTAATAATGTAAGCCCTTGAATGGCAATCCAAATTGATTGAACCACTGATGCTAAGTTATACAAAATTGCACCACTTTAATTAAAGCTTTTTAGTTTACATTTGGCCACCTCAAAGTAGTTGTAACATCAGGTTGGTCAATTTAAATACTGTGGCTCCCTGTTGGATAGACACACAATCTTTACACCCAAATGTTAATGCATACAAAGCAACAAGGGATTGTTAAATAAAACAGCAATAGTTACTGCAAATTAGGCCTTGTGACCAATTACACATGATTAAAATTACTTCCCACATTCACATCCACAGTACTCGTCCACCATTTAACATCTCAACCAAAATGTTACACATGGGAAACAATCACTCACAGGCAAAAATATTAAACCTGTATATTTGGTATTGCAAATACACTTATGCATGAGCAAGCAAGGTGTTCACAGTGAGAATCTACAGCTACAGAAGCCTGAAAATGATTTACAAAAATTGTTAAATAATTAAAAAATTGTTTGAAAATATCCACTTCTTGTTGTAGACCCACACTGTACACACAACTATAAACATTGTTCCTTATGTAAACAAAAAAGAAAAAATCATAAGATTTGAGAGGTCTGGACATTTCCTTCCCAACAGATATTAAAGGCAACGTCTTTATCTAAGACATTGTACTGAAAGGACTATTGTATTTTAAAGACAAGATCACTGTCTCCACAGGTTTTTGAAAAATTAAAAAAAAACTATATAGCTGTGTTAATCAAAGCGCTTATTTTGTACAATACAATGATAATGACCTTCAATTTAAAAAAAAATAAAATAAGCTACAAGTATCAAAGAAGCAATATAGGAACTCTTTGGACTTTCTTTTATTATGCTAAAATAGTGGTGTTTTTAGGATTTACATTATTGTACTCTCCAATACAAAGAATGGGGATGTGTTAAAGTATACAGTACACCATTTTCATACATGTACAACATTGGTGGATGAAAAATGTCTCTTAGCAGTAATACTGGAGGTAGCCTCTGGTTTTACCAGCTGCATACTGTAGGACTATTATATAAGTAAAAATCTCTCGTGATATTGGAAAGTGATTAGAATGTACAAACTGATATAGTAGCTTTCATCCGCCTCTTAAAGGTACCACCACAGGAAAGTCCATTTAAGATGTTGGTAGGTTTAACAAAGTAGGAATGCTGGCACTGTTGAATTGGGCAACAGTTCTTCAGACCTGGCTCAGAGCTACAATGCATTTAATTTATTAAAGCAGCTGACATGACGACTTTTTGTGAGCCCTTCCAGGTACTGGAGTTTTTCTGTTAATTTGCCGCACTAGGTCATAAAAAAATCTCATTAACATTTATTTTTGATTTTGTAGAGATTCTAAGAATGCACAGTTGTTCCATTGCCTTGCTAGATTTTGATCTTGTTCCTTTCCTACAACCCTTTCATCTTCCAAGTCACACTTATTACCAACCAGGATCATTGGAACATCAAAAGTGTCTTTAACTCGAAGAATCTGCTCTCTTAGATCTTGTAAGTCATTAAATGTGGACTGTGCTGTGATGGAATAAATTAAAGCAAAGCCTTGTCCATTTTTCATGTACAAATCCCTCATTGCTGTAAACTGTTCCGTTCCTGCAGTATCCAAAATTTCAAGCATACACTGCTGTGCATCTACTTCAACTTGTTTTCTATAAGAATCTTCTATTGTAGAATCATATTTTTCAACAAAAATTCCTTGAACAAACTGTACAGTCAGAGCAGATTTTCCAACACCTCCTGAGCCAAGAACAACCAGCTTATACTTCTGCATGATGCAAACTTGTCAAAACCTAGTACCTCTCACGCTGTCACCCGGATCCTCCCGGCCACCCCGCGCTCCCTCCCCCCCCCCAGGGTCTCAGCTCGCGGCTTCACAGCGGTCCTACCACTCAACAGAAAAGTTAACTGAATATAAACTATAGACCTAAGCATAAAATTTGTCAAATAAGATATAGGAGAAAACCAAAATGTCCTTTTGGTGGAGAAAGATTTCCTATACAAAATGCTGAAAGCATTAAGCATGGAAGAAAAAATTCATGAAAATGAACTTTATCAAAATTAAAAACTGATCTTCAAAAGCCACAAACTAAGAAAAAAAATGAACACAAACATCTGACAAAAACATATTGTATCCACAATACGGACAACTCAGTATCAGGAAGATAATCTAAGAACAAAACAGGAGATTTTTAGCACTTTATAAAAGGAACTCATTAAAGAGGTGACTAGGGTCTAGCCTTGGTGACCGATGCCTGTAATCCTACCTGCTCAAGAGGGTGAGATCTGAGAATCATAATTCAAACCCCAGACAGAAAAGTCCACAAGACTCTTATCTCCAATAAACCACCAAAAAGCTGGAAGTGAAGCTGTGTCTCAAGTGGTAGAGCACTAACCTTGAGCAAAACCAGCTAAAAAATATCACCCTAGCCCTGAGTTCAAGACCTACTACAGGCTAGCTATTAGAATGGTTTAAGTTAATAACATGATCCAAACTACTGAAAACAAAACTCTGACAAAACTAAATGGAACTCATTTGCTGATGGGAAATTAAAATAAGGTAACCACTCTGAAAACCCACTGAGCAGTGTTGGTGTATATGTGTGTGTGCACATGCACACATATGCACACACATACCAGTACTGGGATGGTGCTTTACCATTTAAGCTACACATCCACTTCTGGAGGTTTTTTGCTTATTAATTGGAGCTAAGAGTCTCACAGAATTTTCTGCTCTGACCAGCTTTGAACCCAGATCCTCAGATCTCAGCTGCCTGCATTCTTAGGATTACAGGCATGAGCTATCTGCACCCACTTCCTAGGTGTTTCTTAATCCAATCAACTTCACAAGATGAATCATCATAGCCACACTCCTCAGCAGTGTGACAGTCAAGCACATCTTCTTAAGCCCAGAACATTCATCCATGGACCCCAAAGTACTCACACCCAGTTCATAATGCAAGATACAGCACAGTATCATCTTCAAGAGTCCAACGTTGTCCCAAGTACAAGTCTCCTCCTAGACTCATCCCCCATTCCACAAGGAAGAATAGAAGCATCCAAAAAAAGATGGACCAGGTGCCAGTGGCTCACACCTGTAATCCTAGCTACACAGGAGGCTTGAGATCTGAGAATTGCAGTTCAAAGCCAGCCAGGACAGGATATCTGTGGGTCAGCAAAAGCTGGAAGTGGCACAGTGGCTCAAGTGGTAGAGTGCTAGCCTTGAGCAAAAGATGCTCAGGGACAGCATCCAGGCCCTGAGTTCAAGGCTCAGGACCAGTACCAAAAAAAAGAAAGAAAGAAAAGGAAGCAAGCAAGCAAGGAAGGAAGAAGGAAAGAAAGAAAGAAGGAAGGAAGGAAGGAAGGAAGGAAGGAAGGCAAGAAAGAAAGAAGGAAAGAAGGAAAGAGAAAAGAAAAGAAAAAAAAGAAAAAGGAAATATGGAGACCAGATGTTGGAGGCGCATGCCTATAATCCTATCTATTCAAGAGGCTAGGATCTGAGGACTGCAGTTTGAAGCCAGTCTTGACAGTTAAGTCTGTGAGACTCTTAGCTCTAATGAATCAACAAAAAGCCAGAAGTGGAATTGTGGCTCAAACGGTAAAGCACTAGCCTGGCACCCAAAAGCTCAGTGACAGCTCAGGCCCTGAGTTCAAGTCCCTGAACACACACACACACACACACACACACACACACACACATACACACACACAGCAAACATGAAAATATGGGACCAAAATGAGCTGGAAGCCCAGGAGGCCAAGCATTCAGTCCTGCACCTCCATGGCTTGTACCACGCTTTGCAGTGGAGCTCATGGCCACGGCTTTGAGGATTCCCCCCACCCCTGCAGCCTGGCAGCACCGCCGCCTCTCCCTCCCCTCCGAGCGGCTCCACTTGCTGCTGATGGCTGTTCTCTTGCCTCTGAAGCTTTTCCCTCCCAGCTGCCTGCACTGCTTCCAAGACCCAGAGTGTCAGCATCCTGATCGCTGTATAAACCCTGCACAAGAATGAGGCTAAGGGCCGAGCCATCCTGGACAGCATCCAGGCCCCAGGGCCATGGCTGTAGGGGCCTTGGAGTGACTGGACATGGACAAGGGGAGACATTTGAGTCACAAGCGAACTATGTTAGAAACCTAGGCTGGACAGCACGCTGTCTTTTTCTTGTGTCAGAGTTTACTCAGTAACACTACAAAGTCACAGACACTTCATTGGCGTTCATTTGCCCAGGACAGCAGTGATGACTTGATAGCTTAGGCCCTGGTCAATGCAGGTTCACTGTGCTCCCATTGTCAGTACTGAGACTAGCTGTCACATCTCACATTGCACTTGACACAACAATGCAGAAATACAGCTAGTAGGACAGCTAGATGACAGCTAGACAGACAGACAGACAGACAGATAGATAGACAGACAGACATAAAGATAGATAGATAGACAGACAGAAAGATAGATAGATAGATAGATAGATAGATAGATAGATAGATAGATAGATAGATAGATAGATAGATAGATAGATAGACAGATAGTTGGATGGATGGATGGATAGATAGATAGATAGATAGATAGATAGATAGATAGATAGATAGATAGATAGATAGATAGATAGATAGATAGATAGATAGATAGATAGATAGATAGACAGACAGACAGACAGACAGACGGACGGACAGAGACAGACAGGTAGGTGGATGGATGGATGGACGGACGACGGACAGATGGACAGACAGACAGACGGATGGATGGATGGATGGCTGGATGGATGGGTGGACAGACAGACAGACAGACAGACAGACAGACAGATAGATAGATAGAGAGAGAGAGAGAGAGATAGGTAGACAGACAGACATACAGACAGACAGACAGACAGACAGACAGACAGACAGACAGACAGACAGACAGACAGACAGACAGACAGACAGACAGACAGACAGATAGATAGATAGATAGATAGATAGATAGATAGATAGATAGATAGATAGATAGACAGATAGGAAAAGGTTAAGAGGATTATGCTGAGGGCTCAGGCAGCAAGCTGATAGAGAAGCAGGAGGCGCTCTCTGAAGGGAGAAATCTGAAGGAGAACAGGTAAGTTTTCCAAACCACACACTCCCAAGCTGTCACATGCGGGTGCAGGTGCAGGTGACAGCCGTTTCCAGGGTGAGTTTGAAGTGGCTGCTGTGGGGAAACGGCCCTCAAGCTGGAATCTGAGCACAGAGGCAGACAGCCCCCGTCAAGTTCCCTAGATGGGCCTCGGCCCCAGGACCAGCACACCTACCCAAACAAATCTTTCCAATGCGTTCAAATCTTTGCATCCTTGAGCCAGCCATAGATGTGTGCTTACCAACTCCTGAGGTGCCCTCAAGTTGTTCTTCCTATTATCCCAGGACAAAATACCCCACAGGCTAGCACTGGGGATTGAACTCAGAGCCTCTGGCTTGTTACTCTAGGATGAAACCACTGAGCCATGCCCCCTGTCCTGTTTTTGGATGGTCATTTTTAGGTTTGAGTCTTGCTTGCCCACTGGATGTTCTCCTGACCACAGTCTGCTTGCTTTAGCCTTCCTATCTTTTCTGGGACCACAGGTACCCCCTTCTGCATGTACCTTCCCTCAATGGGAGCCGAGTTTCTGCCCAGATAGTCCTGGAACTGCAGTCCTCCTGTTCTCAGCCACTGTACCCAGCTAGGAGTTGAATTGTCTTGTGAACTTTTAGCCTGGACTGGCTTTGAACTATGATCCTCCCATTTTCAGGTTTTAAAATAACTAGGATTACAGATGTGAGCCACTGTTGCCCAGCGAGGATTCTTTTACCAGGCCTTAATCTCTGCAGTAGCCATGCCTTACTTGGCCCAAACTTTACATTTCTGAGCAAGCTGCAAGTTGAGGGAACCTTTCTACCCTCTGCGTTTTCTTTTTATAATTCTCACTTTAAGCTTGTCTAAAAGCCCAACAATATCTGTGCCACAGCCTGAACTTTGCGATTGCCTTCTGCTGTGTTGAGTTGCCTTTGCTTTCCTAATTCTTTTTTTTTGGGGGGGGGGTCCAGTCGTGGGGCCTGAACTCTGGGCTTGGGCACTGTCCCTCAGCTCTTCAGCTCAAGACTAGCACTCTACCACTTGAGCCACAGTGTCACTTCCGGCTTTTTTTTCTTTTTTGCTTATGTGGTGCTGAGGAATCGAACCCAGGGCCTCGAGCATGCAAGGCAAGTGCTCTACCACTGAGCCACCTTCCCAGCCCTGCTTTCCTAATTCTTTGAGTTACTTTCGTTTGGTTGCTTATTTGAAATCAATCTCTCTCCTCTCCCTGTCCCCTTTCTTTCACTCTCTCTTTTTCTTAATGAGACCTGCTCTATTAAGGGGTCTTCCAGGACCTAGATTCTGTAACTTTTTCCCCCAAAGTTTTAGCCAATTTTTGGCCCTTGTCTTTTAAAATGTGTTTCCATGCCTTTCCCTTCTCTTGTAGACAATCCATAATGCTAATTTTATTCACCTAATGGTATCCCTCTAAGCCTCCTTCTACCTTTCTCCCTCCTTCCTTATTCTACTTCCTTCCCTCTTTCCTTCCTTTCCCCTCTCCTCTCTCTCCCTCCCTTCCTTCCTCCCTTCCTTCCTCCCTACTTCCTTCCTTCCTTCCTTCCTTCTTTTCCTTTCTTGCTCCCTATTTCCCTCCTTTCCTTCTTTATTTTCTTTCTCTTGTTGTTTTTTGTCTGACTGGGTTATCTCAAAAGATCTTCCTTCAAGCTCAGAAATCTCCAACATATTAATGTAGTGGATTGTTTGGCTTCTGTAATATTTCTGTTTGGTTGTGTGTTTGAAGGCTGTGATGTCTGGTGGATTTCTCACGCTGTGCATGCATTGGCCATCAGCCTTT